TAGAATTTTTTTTTGGACTGCATTTTGAAAGTATTTTCATATTATTTGTTTCAATATTTTAAGAACACAAACTATGCTAGAAAACAGAAGAAGGTGAACATGATATATAAATTTTCACATTTTCTTACATATTTAGATAAAGCCATCTTACCGCTCTATGATGGCTCTTCAGGAGGAAAAACCAGTGTATTGTGAACGTCACCGTGAGTCAAGTTCAGTAGACACAGAACCTGGATTAGAAGATTCAAAGGAAGTAATAAAGTGGAAACGACTGCCTGGGCAGGTGAAGTGTTTGATAATAGTGGATTCATTTAGACATTTACTTATTACCTTAAAAACTTCAACAGCTCCTAGGGTACCTAGTTTACTACCAAAATGCTCAGATTATCCTTGGTCTTAACCATAATTTAGTCTTTCCATTAATTCATTTGACAAATTATAAGAGTGTGCCTATCATGTATGTAAATGCATTATCTTAGGTTCTTTGTTTGGGTGCCTGGGCACTTGTATCAATTAGCTTGGGCTGCTATAACAAAATACCACAAACTGGGTGGTTCAAACATTTTTTTCTCACACTTCTGGAGGCTGGGAAGTCCAAGATTGAGGTGCCCGCCAGTTCAGTTCCTGGTGAGGGTCCTCTTCCTGGTCTGCAGACAGCCTTCTTGCTATATCCTCACATGGTAGAAAAAGATCATCTCTCTCATGTCTTTTCTTATAAAGACACTAATCCCATTCATGAAAGTTTCATGATCTAATTACCTCCCAGGGCCCCACCTGTAAATATCATCACACTGGGGATTAGGGCTTCAACATATGAATTTTGAGGGGACACAAGCATTTAGTCTATAGCAGAGATCAATGTCCTGGCAGGATTGATTCCTTCTGAGGCCTCTCCTTGGCTTGCAGATGGCTACCCCTTTTCTGCCTCGTCCCGTGGTCTTTTCTTTGTGCATGCATATATCCCTGATGTCTCTCCCTCTTATAAGAATATCACTCCTATTGGATTAGGGCTTCACCCTAATGACCTCATTTTTACTTAATTACCTCTTTAAAGACCTTATCTCCAGGTACTGTTATAGTCTGAGGTACTAGGGGTTAGGGCTTTAACATATGAACTTGGGGAGGAGGATCACAATTCAGCCTATAATAGCAGTCAATATTTCTTTATTTTATTTTATTTTTTGAGACAGAGTCTTGCTCT